ATACCGTTCCTAGAGATTCCTATTCCACAAGGTACCTTTTTCCCGATAAAATTAGAAGTACATGCAAAAGTACGGTAGTTAGTTTCCAACTAGTCAAATTCAATACTTTTATCCAAATGTCAAAAACGATGCTTTTCTATGAAATTTGTATGAAACACTGAGTTATGACGTCATAGTATTTTCGCGTCAAATAGCTTACTTATTTCTTAATAATTAGCTAAAAAATATCTAAAACTTAGTGTATCGATCGATTGATGAATTGATCTATAGTTATTTTTCAATATTTTATTGTATTGTAACGTCGTAATAATTTACTTTTTACATAGGAAACTACCCAATTTGTGGTGTTTGTATGGCAAATATATTATTTATGTTAATTATTGTTTTGAGTGTATGTAAAACTTTATTTCTATTATAAAGAGTTAAATATGTAAGTTTGTATGTAGGGGGTAAGTTTTAGAATTACTTGTCGAATTCTTAAATTGTTTCACTATAAAGATTAAGCTAGCTGGTTTGTTATTATATATTTTGTTCGTGTGTGTGGCAACGTTTTAATAAAACAATAAATATTCGTATTTAAGGAGAATACAAAGGAGAAATGAAAATGGGTATGTAGATATCTATACATTTTTTGTCTACTTTTGTGAACTTAGAATCATGTTTAAATACAAAATGATTCGAAGAAAGGAGCTAGCACTATTTTTTTTTTTCGGAATGGCCAGATATTCGGCCACTACCTGGTGGTAAACGATAATGCGACCTACGATGGACCTACCCATAACCAACATATTTAATCGGGCCTTGAAGACTCAAAGAATTCCACTCGTTAGCAATTATTGCGATTGTTCCTATCTTGGGCTTTATTCCAGGGTCATGCTTGGGTTTACATTTTATTTTTACATGACTTTTCAGTAGATCCATTCCTTTTATTATTAACGTCCATCTTTTAGGATAATTTAATATATGTATAAATTAACATGTATTTTATATTTTCTTACGGAATCATATATTGTCCTCAACGATAGCTATATTGATTAAATGTAAAAAGCATGCATTGTAAAAAGTGATTGAAAAAGTAACGATGGAGTTTCTTGCTCGTTCTTCTCCATAGGAATCTACACTTTGGAACGAGCAAATAGCTTCACTAGAGGACAGACGGACAGACTGACACATAAAGTTAAACCTTATGATATCTTTTTTGCTTGACGTTCAAAAGTGCCTTTTTTGGTCTATTTGAAATAAAGAATTTGAATTAATTTGATTTGATTTGAATAACAAGTGACTTTACCACTAAGTTCACTTGTTATGAGCAGTTAAAAAAAAAAAAAACTTTTTTACAGCGAAACAACAGGAAGACGAATCTAGTATGTACCTACTAGTATTTAAGCATTATTTTTAATTCGTCATTTGTAATATTCGTGACAAATAATATTAATTGATGTCAAAAGATATTCTTACAGTCTGATATTACATTTATTTGCAGAAATGGCTGTAGCAGATCAGGAAGTTAAGTCAGGTCAGTATTTTCGTTCGTCACAGAAATACGTCATTTGTAATATTCGTGACAAATAATGTAGCTTTATGTTAAACGATATTTTTATATTTCGACTAGCTGAACCGGCAAACGTTGTTTTGCCATAAAAATAAGGGTTGATCGTAGAAGGGTGAAAATTGAGGATTGTATGTATTTTTGTATGTTGTATCATAAAAAAATAGAAATAAAAATTTTGTCTAAAAAATAAAAAAAAAGATTAGGGGTGGAGCACCCTAACATTTAGGGGGATGAAAAATAGATAATGGCGGATTCTCATAGATACCGGATGAGCACAAAAAAAATATCAATATCGGTCAAGCCGTTTCGGAGGAGTATGGCAACGAAAACTTTAACACGAGGATTATATATATTAGATATTTTATTTGTAGAAATCGCGGAGGGTGATCAGGAAGTTAAGTCAGGTCAGTATTTTGATTCGTCACAGAAATCTGTCATTTGTAATATTCGTGACAAATAATATTGTCTTCTTATATATGAAAAGATATGGAGAAACAGCATCCAAACATGTAGGTATTTGTTATATACAGATGCAGATGCTTCAACGATTCAAGGATTCGATTCCCGTAACAAACAATTCTATGTGTGGTCTACAAATCATTGTCCCGGGTCTACGTCTGTGTTATGATGTTGAGCGAAATCTTTTCCTAGTTCATGAACGTGATTAAGTCTTTAATATCAATGAATATATTTGAAAAAACGAAACATATATATTGATTCAGTAAACAGGCAATAGTGCCATTATATAGGTAGTTATTGAACTTACCAAAAGATATGGCTTCGACAAAAAGCAAATTTTACTTTGATTTATAGTTGTTTTTTTTTAATAATTGCCTGTACGCTGTATAAAATATTATTATTTTTCAATAAAATCATCGCCCCACACTTGGTTTCTCTCCTGAGTCGTGGGTTACAAACATATAATTTCACATAATTACGCAACACATCTTCAACGTCAACTGTGCAATCAAAATTAGTTTTTGATCATGATGTTTTATTTCTTTATTTTTTGTATCTTTTGTAATATATAATAGTCCACTATTGATTATACAAAAGCTATCCTTGTTAGGTCTTTTTGTTCAAATAATTTATTAATATTTATATTTCTAAGCTAAAGAAAAATCGGACGACGAAAGTTTGGAAGGCAAAAAAACTCACACTACTGCGAAAGTTACAAGAATTACAAAATGTACTACATCTTCACCTTTACCTAAATGTAAGTAATTACCGCCATGTTTAGAATCTTTTAATGATTACTAAACCCAGATTGACCGCTCCAGATGGGGCCCAACTGGGTCGACATTTGCCTCAAAGAGCCAATAGACCACCACAGACGGGGCCCTAAAGGGCTGATGTTCAGCCGGGGTTGCGGAGTAAGCGCAATGAGGCACCGCGACCGCGGCCCAGAGCAGGAGAAGGAACAGGGGGTTTTTAGACAGTAAGAGTCTGACACTCCCTCCCGCCCGGCCCTGGGCGGGAAAAGTCATTTGATGATTTTCCCCTCACAAAAAACCGGCGTTTATAGTAAGAGTCTGACACCCCATCCTTTAGAAATAAAGTCTTTAAAGCAAATCAAATCAATATAATTTATATTGCATGCATCAGTTAGGAAAAAAAAACAAAAAAAAATAACGCTTCTATACGTATAATTTTCCATTTTTTTCAACATTAATGTTTAATCTTTTCAGTGAGTGATGGATTCTTTCCGTGTAAGTCTAATCTAAATCTAATCTTCTTAGTGTTCTGCTAGGTACATTATACAATACATTTGTTACTGGTGAGTTTTATTTAAAAAAAATATTCAATTAATTAGGTATTAAGTAAGATGTGTTTTTTTACTTATAGACAGCGGTTGGTACTTCTATTTATATAATATTCTCTTTTCAAATTAATCATTTATTATTGGCAATATTTTTAATAATTATTATATTGACCATTTTAAAAATCCCATACCCTAATTAAATGTCAATGCACACAATACATGTTTGACGCATAAGTTTTGACTATACACTCGATTAGTCGATTCTATTAAATCGATTAGTGCGTCTCTAAGAAAAAAAAAATACCAGTGTCCTGACTTCAGACACGTTTTAATTTATGGGGTTAAATAAATACATAATTATTACACTTTAAATTGTACAAACCAAAAACAGACGAAAAGACTGACAGACTACTTTTCTATTTTGACGTTTCAAAAGCACCTATTTATGGTTTAGTTGGAATAAATGATTTTGACTCTGACTTGAACAAGAAAGAGATAAAATAATTTTGGTGTGTGGTCTAACAAGGTTTCATTGATTTGGTTACGAACTGTTTTTTTTTTCAGATGAATATTATGATAATAATACTGTGGATAAATCAAGCGCAGGTTCGTTAATTTTTATTGTATTTCTTATATGAAATCCCAATTCCCAAATCTCCGAGTTCTTTACAATTAATTGGAAGGGTTAGCGCACTTCTAAATCCTCAATGTTGTGGTCAGGTCCTCAGGTAATCAGGTTAAAAAATAGTATGCTTGTCACTGAATCACATGAAAACAATGTTCATGTCTCTCTTCAGTCGGATACCATGGATCACAAATAATCTTACTAATATTATAAATGTGAAAAGTTTGTTAAAGTGTATGGATGTATGTTTGTTATTCTTTCACGTCAATACGGCTACACCGATTTGGTTTAAATTTGGTATGTAGACAGATGATATCCTGGACTAACATATAGGCTTTTCGGTAATTTTCTCGATCTTTTTTTAATTAACATTCCAAGCGGGTGAAGCCGCAGAACGACGCTAATGAAGTTACCTTTAAGCACGAAAGTTTATTAAGTAAAGATGGATGGATGTTTGTTACTCTTTCAAGCAAATACTACTGAACGGTTCCGAATGAAATTTGGCACAGAGATAGATTATAGACTGGAATAACACATGACTTTTTACATTGTATATTCTTATGAACAACGATTTCAGAAGAGAAGACAACGACTGTCAGGGATGTAACTAAGGAGTATTTGAAGCCAACCGACGGACCCATACCGAAGCTTTATATTGATGATGAATAAAACAATAAATGTTATTTGATTAACTGAGTATCACTACATAGTATAAAACAAATTCGCTTTCTCTGACCCTATATCCCTATGTAAGTTTAAATCTTTAAAACTACGCTAATTGTGTATGATAAGTGTGGGAAAGCCATGCTTCGGCAGGAATGGGTCGGCTCGACCAGAGTGGTACCACAGCCTCACAGAAAACTGGCGTGAGACAACCATAGCGTTGTGTTTCGCCGTGTGAGTGAGGTTACCGTAGGCCAAATCCTTCCCCAATTCCAAAATCTCTAAATCCCTAATCCTAATAAAGTCAGCGTTGTTGCGGTGTCCATGGGTGTCAGTTATTTAGCATCAGGTAATCTGTTTACCGACCTATAACGATGATTAAAGGTAAAGGTACTTACTCCTGGAGTCGGCGCGGGTCCAGGTCCAGGGGTAGGCTGCACAGGTGGGAGGTACGGCCTCTGAGGAGTTGGGTTTGGCCTGATGGTCGGTGGGGTTGGTTGCTGGAAAATTCAAGGCGATTTTTTAAATAATTTCTTCACGTTTGTTTGTTTTAAAATTAGACGAATTAGGTGCACTTATCATCATATTGTTGATCATTTGTGGAGTGCGCGAGGAATGTCATTATTAGAAAAAAGTAGAGAAAAATCGCAAGGGTAGCCACCAAGCATAATCACTCTGACAAGAGTGTACGGTTACAACGTAGCTATCATATTATTGTATTATTTTCTCATATGTCGTGGGTGCGTTTACAAACATACAATTTCATTTACACATGACACCCAGACCCGGAACACTGTTTTTGGGCACCGTTTTTATATAAACAAAATATAAGTAAATATACAAAATCAACTAAAAATCGCGGGTTACTCACGTTTATAATATTGAGGATATTCCTTATGAGCAGCGTGCGCGGACGCGGGAATGTCGCGCAGCCTAGTCAGTAGACACGTGAGAAACCCGCGATTTTTAGTTAATTTAGTATGTCTCACGATAGTTTTTATAAAAACAATGAAAATATACCTTATTTCCATTATTATTGGTGGGGAATGGAATGGAGGGAGGTTCGTAGTTGTAGCCCTTGCTGGGAGGGAGGTACTCGTTGCCTGCTGACATCGCCATCACGAATAGGGTTGAAGATACGATGCTGGAGAGCCACATCTGGAAGAGACGAAAAGTAATGTTAAGTTACTGTTACTTTGGTAGCAAGTTTAACCGGCTTACTCAGAGTCTTAATTAATGCTTACTTAATTAAGTATTTACTGAGTGATTTCGGAACAAAACTGTAACTAAAGAAGAGTTTATGTTATCATCAGGTTTTGCCCGCGACTCCGTTCGCGTGGAATTGTGAGTTACTACAGATTTTTGGTATAATGTCCTTTCACGAGTTCCAAACTATGTCTGTACCCAATTTTACAAAAACCAGTTCAGTAGTTTAGGGTTTTTTTGTGATGGGAAAATCATCAAATGACTTCTCCCGGGGCCGGGCGGGAGGGAGTGTCAGACTCTTACTGACTAAAAACCCCCCTGTTCCTTCTCCTGCTCTGGACCGAGGTCGCGGTGCTTCATTTCGCTTACCCCGCAACCCCGGCAAGTAGTTTCGAGAAGACAGAAATACATACAGACAGGGTTTCTTTCGCATTTCGAATATTATAGTATAGCTCATAGTGTAGTTAATATCAGTATAGATTATAAATTAAATGTCTCTACTAAATAGTGATTGTTGGATAGTTGAGTAAAGAGATTTTTTTTTTAATATAAATTAAAACATTAGATTAACCTATCCCATAAAAAAAACAACATCATAAATCAATCAAGTTTAAGAAGCTTCCTTCATCTAGAATCGTGCAGTTTATCGTATCCTTAATGTATCCACTTTGGTTGAGCGTGACAATTGAGTGCAGTTAGCTGTTGTTTAGCCGGTTCAGTCGTGCTCACACGAAGTTTGTTAGTTTGGAAAGTGATTCTCAAATATGCGGGCGCTTTGTAAATCAATTTTCAAACATGTGTTGGAAGATTATGCTTCGACATTATTTAATGGACTCGGAATAGGCACGGCCTCAAAGAGAATCGGCGTGAAATAACGCTTGCGTTGTGTTTTGTCGTGTGAGTAAGATTCCCCTAAACCTCAAATCCCTTATTCTGTGGTTGGGCTGCAACGTGTCACGGGTTTGATTCCCGCACGGAACAACTCTTGTGTGATCCACAAGTTGTCGGGTCTGTGTGTGATGTACTATATATGTGAAATTGTATCTTTGTACCCTCGCACGACACAGGAGAAACTACTAGTGTGGATCAACGTTTAATAAAACCCGGAAATTCACTTGCAACTAGTCTGTAATTTTTATTAATCTGAATGCGACTTACTTTAAATTAACTAATTAACCAATCTTATTGCTCTGCATATAGGAAGAAGGAAACAGGCTAAAATGCGTATAAAACCAAGTTAATAAAATACCCTTATTTCCCTCTATAATAATTTTGAGAAACACTGTCCTAGATTTAGCAAAAGCATTGCATGTACGCTACCTACCTAGATACAATTAAATAAAGCACGAAGCCCAGACGTTTAGCTTTGAAGATTTAATTTCACTTCTAATCAAAATAATGAAAGGGTTTTTGAGTGATGTTTAAATTATATTAAAACGACACAATTTCATTTTTTTTAACTTTACCCCACACTGGTATTTTCTCGTGAGTCGTGGGTGCGTTTACAAATATACAATTTCACACACACATCTCACCAAACACGGAACAATTATAATAAATGTTGGTCACATGTTTTGTGCGCAAATCAAGACCGCTTTGTGCGGTACCCAGTTGCCCAGCCACCGTTTAGTAATTTTATTTTATAAGTCTTTTAATTCTTGACAGAATTACAATGGTTAGCATCACACCGGTGGTGCCTTCTGTGAGGCAAGTAGACTTAGGCTTTAATGGCCGCTTGTTGTCAGTCAGCCCGTAATTTTTTTTAGGGAACATAGCATAAAGTTGCCTAAGATCAGAAAGTCCCCGGAGATGATACTTAATGCCTGTCGGGCTGCTACCCAACAATTGATTGTTGGGATTTTCCTATTCATATAATTCTGCGCAAAGATTACCAGCGCGAGGTATCTAAGTATTTGAGTATATTTCGGCACGAATGGGTCGATCGATGGAAAATATAGGATTTGTGACGTCATTCGTTGAATTATTAAAGTCATTATTATCTTTTATGTACATAGCCTCACTTTGTAGTGATGACGACAAAGATTCAATCTTCGTAAGAAAAATAAAAATGTTTAGTCAAAAACCTAATAACACCCTTTTTAATACACCATCGTCATGAGGAGGAATGATTCCAAACTCGATGTTTACTAGTCAGTCTTTTTTTTGGTGATGGGAAAATCATCAAATGACTTCTCCAGCCCAGGGCGGTGTCAGAGTGAGTGTCAGACTCTTACTGAGTAAAAGCGCTTGCCCCGGCTGTACATCAGCCCTATAGGGCTTAGAAGTCAGTCTAACTTTCCATCCGTTTATTAAACCAGCTCGATGGTACCATATTGTATGGTCAATGGTCATCGAATCTGAATGAATCGAATAAGAAGATAAAACTTGTAATTTTGTAAGTTTGTATGTAGGGGGTAATCACTGAGAGATTGCAATTAAAATAAATTGATTACACATTAATTTGGACGGGAAGAACAAAGACCTTTCTTGACGATTTCTTTTCAATAGATTGTCTATTGAAATTAATTAAGAATAATTTACTGTTGTTGGTTGAAGATATAAATCTGTACATTCTGTCTGTCTGGTAATAATTTGTAGCACATTCTGCAGTGAAACAATGGATGTTGTAACATCTTTCCGATTGGATGGAGACTTGCAGTCGCTCATTAGGACACAGTGAGGTATGGTGCCGGTTACAGCGGACGTGGGTCGCGAAAGTTCTACCAAAGTTTTATGTTAGTCTGTAAGGAAAAATTAGGTTGGTTTAGTGTTCCAAAATAGTAGTTCTCGTCAATTTGTTTTACAACCTTTTTCAAACTAGCTTTTTTTTTGTGAGGGGAAAATCATCAAATGACTTCTCCCGCCCAGGGCCGGGCAGGAGGGAGTGTCAGACTCTTACTGACTAAAAACCCCCCTGTTCCTTCTCCTGCTCTGTGCCGAGGTCGCGGTACCTCATTGCGCTTACCCCGCAACCCCGGCTGAACATCAGCCCTTTAGGGCCCCGTCTGTGGTGGTCGAATGGCTCTTTGAGGCGCGCGCGGAACGCTACGCGCCGTACGCTCGGGCCTGGTTCTGGTCGGGCGGCGAGCTGCCCTTACTCGCCGACCGCAGGCCCGTGCTTACGGTGGCCGGAGATCGTCCCTCGATCCCCGACGCCCGTAGTGTCGCCAGTTGCGGCTGCTGGGGCGTGAGGAGGAGGATTGCTCCCTCACGCGGGCCGCCTCTCTCTTTGCGAGCATGACTGCTTCACAAAAGGAGGAGACGGCGTCCCAGTTCCTCTCACTCCGCACCATGGCCTCGACTAAGGCCGGGCGCGAGAGGTCGCCGCCGCCGATCACTTCCCTGAGGATACGGCGGTGCTCAGCCCAGGCAGGGCATACCGCATATAGGTAAGTTTTTGAAGAGGATTTTGCAACTCAATTTTTAGCACATATCTTCAACTGATTAAGCTAAATGTATCCTTGACCGTAAATGCTAACCTGGATGACATGATTCTAATTTCATACAAATGTCTTTATTTAGTTTATTCTTGTAATTATTTGGTTTTATTTAGTTTATTCTTGTTGAATAGCTTTTCGCTGTATGTCGAAGTTTTACAGTTTATTTTAAACTCGAAGCAATACGAATTTGATTGAAGAAGCGTTGTTCGCAAAATTTTTATTTCAATACACTTGCGCTAGTGGATGGATGGAGAGGGAGAGGGAGATCAAAGAAAATATGGATGGATTGTGTGAGAAATGATATGGAAGATAGAGGAGTCAGTGATAGCGTGACGGGTGACAGGACAGAATGGAAGAAAAAAACATATTGCGCCGACCCCAAATAAAACGGGACAAGGGCAGGAAGATGATGATGACTTATGCTAGTGAATTTTCAAAAGCCATGCCAAAAAAATTACGTTACGTTGAAAACTCGCTGTTACGAACGCCTATGATCTCCCCGCTACTCGCTACCACTGGCACCAAAACCGACTAGTCTAATACAATACAAAACGTTCATTAAGTCACAAATTATGTTCAATCTTACGATAAGTCCGTACATTGTCTTCATCTGAGTGTGTAGAACTGTACTCTATTGTTTTCTGATATTCAGTCCACGTTTGGGCAAAGGGCAGAAGTTTGTCAATACATCAGCTAATTGATGTTTCACTGGGAATTTGTGATAGCAATTTTATATGATGAAATTTTTACATTGTTTTATTTTAAATCTGTCTTTAGATTAGCCATAGATTCGCCCTCTTATACATGGAATTTGTAATGAAATTAAAGTTTTACTCAAGATTAATTAAAATAATATCCTTTAGGATATAAATTTGTTGCGAACACTCAAAAAAAAACCTCTAATTGAGTTTAGTATTCTCCTAATAATAAAACTGTTTGACTCAATGCACTGAGGCCTGACTTATAACAGGGTGGTTTTTAGTTATAGGGTGGTTTTTAGTACATATAACAGGGTGGTTTTTAGTTAATAACAGTCTGAAGCTTCCTCTCGCCCCTCAGGATGGGAGGAGCAACTTGATGATATTCCCCTTTCAAAAAAGGCACAAACGTAATATAGTAGACTAGCTGCGCTCGCGCAGTTTCACCTACAATACTTCTCCTACAGATCGTAGCGTGATGTTTTATAGCCTATAGCCTTCCTCGATAAATAGACTAACAAACACAACAATAATTGTTTAATTTGAACCAGGAGTTCCGGAGAATAGCGCGTTCAAACAAACAAACTCAACAGCTTTATAATAATAATATAATAATATAATATATGCATACTATGGATAGATGTGTAGAATCTACAAGTTCTATAAGTAATTTAAACTAAAATTCAATTACAAAATTTGCATAAAAATAACAAATGCAATTTAAATTCAGTACCTATTTAGATTACAAAATGAATCCTCTCGGAAAACACTTATTACGAAGTTAAACACAGGAATTTGTTCGTGACATTTAGAA